AACTAGAATTGTTTAAAAACACTGATTTAAAAACCCTGAGTTTTAAGAGTAAACAAAAAATCAGTCTTAAAAGATATGTTTTTAGCTTGCCACCACACACTCAACTGCAACTATACAAATCTGAAAAATATAAACACACAGATTTGCCTTTTAAAGATCAGATTACGTAGCCCCCCTCCAAAATAGTCATCATTTGGTGATTCTCACTGCAAGTAAAAATGAGTCCATACATTCCTACTTGGAGAAGGATAAAGAGAATGGATTGACATCATCCTAGGGTCCTAATGTATCCTGTCAATGGACAGGTAACCTCCAGAAACAGACCAGCTTTAGTCTGTAAAGAGAAACAAGCCAAAGAAAAGTCTAGTGTGGCACACGCTGCTATCATTCAGCAAAATGTAGTCAAGAGCTGCCTCACAGAGAATAACAGAAGGTTGCAGGTTCAAAAGCAGTATTTAATCAAAATTAATGGCACTCTAAAGTTAGCAGGTAGGACTCTTAAGAGATGTTTTGCCAAAGTTCAAATGATTTTGGTCTCATTTTAAATGTGGTGTAGCTTGAGGTTTGCCCAGCATGTCACAGAAAAGCAGTCTATGAAAAAAAGGTGATCTAGCCCTCTGCCATTTATCACAGCGACTTGAGCTGTGAGCTGGTGTTTTCCAGTGATGATAGAAAAGGAATTTGAATGGCACCTGTGCAAAGTCTACAGTCCATGAAAAGTGAGCAGGTACAAAAGAGCTCTAGGAAGCAGAAAATGTGAAAGATCCTAAGTCCAAACAGGGCATAGGTGTTATGGAAGATTTTTACAAATGAGGATAGCATAGTCAGATTAGCATTTTAGAAAAAATCATTCTGACTGGAATATAAAGAATAGATTGGAGTGGTCAACAGAAGAGTCAGAGGGATAGGGTAAGAGATATCAAGTTATGACTACCTAAGCTAGGGCTGGAACAGTGAAATTGGAAATAAGTGGACAGGATTGGGTGAGTATAAAGGAGTGGGGGAAAAAAAACTCTTGGTGAATGATTGAACTTGGGAGATGTTAACAGAGACACAAGAATCAAACTTGATTCCTGGTTATTCTTGGACAAATGAACATGTCGA